GCAGGTAGGCAAGAATAACATCGATGACCCCTTCAACAAGGTAACGATGCCAAAAGGCGTCACTATCGCCGGCTCAGAAAAAAATCTGAGCACAACTTTAGCTTCCCATCTCGCCACATCTAAACAATGCCATCCTCAACCGTCCCCACCATCACCGCCCGAACGCCATCACTGCCGGAGCAACCGCCCACCACACTCCTCATTCACGACCCTGCAAGCACCTAGATCAGGCCTTCACGCGTGACGTGCCACCACCTCCCCCCCTCCCACCACGTCTCACCACTTCGCCACCTCGCCACCGATGAGCATCACCGCCAACTGTTGCCATCACAACCCCATGCACCGCCAGCCACCGGATGCCAATGGACAAAGCTACTCCGTTTGGTTGCGCTGAATAAGAAGGCGTTCTCTCATGAATAATACTGCGTTCCTCACAAAATTCATCAAATACTTTAGGAAAATACTCGCTACAACGATCTGGCCTGAGATGCTTGATCTTCTCTCTAATTGATTTTCAACTTCAGCCTTATAGATTTTAAAGTAGTCCTGATCCATTATGTGTCCAAGGTCTTTTGTTCACGGGCAAAGTACCACACACCATCTGTAATGCGACATCTCAACAAAGGATTCACCACCCGTCGCCACGCTCTACCTCGTACCTTAACCACCCAAAATAGGGCACCGGCGAGACATTGAATCAACAACAGCTGTGTGAACCTAGCAAATTCACTGGTCCCCCCTAATCAAGGCAGCTTGAAAACGATGCTCCCAAGAGAGAAAACGACACTATTAACATCATCATCCGATCAGAGATTAACTGGACCTAGGGTTCCCATTGGAGTAGCAGGCAGGCAGGTAGGCAAGAATAACATCGATGACTCCTTCAACAAGGTAACGATGCCAAAAGGCGTCACTATCGCCGGCTCAAAAAAAAATCTTAGCACAACTTTAGCTTCCCATCTTGCCACATCTAAACAATGCCATCCTCAACCGTCTCCACCATCACCGCCCGAACGCCATCACTGCCGGAGCAACCGCCCACCACACTCCTCATTCACGACCCTGCAAGCGCCCAGATCAGGCCTTCATGCGTGACGTGCTACCACCTCCCCCCACCACGTCTCACCACTTCTCCACCTCGCCACCGATGAGCATCACCGCCAACTGTTGCCATCACAACCCCATGCACCGCCAGCTACCGGATGCCAATGGACAAAGCTACTCCGTTTGGTTGCGCTGAATAAGGAGGCGTTCTCTAATGAATAATACTGCGTTCCTCACAAAATTCATCAAATACTTTAGGAAAATACTCGCTACAACGATCTGGCCTGAGATGCTTGATCTTCTCTCTAATTGATTTTCAACTTCAGCCTTATAGATTTTAAAGTAGTCTAAAGCTTCATCTCTAGTTTGCAAAAAAATATAAAGATAGCAAAATCTAGTCGCATCATAAATCAATGTCATGACATATCTATTTCCACCTTTCTTCAAGGCACCATTTATCTCACATAGATCAGAATGTATGAGTTCTAGAGGTGCCAAGTTTCTCTCATCGGCGGCCGTGTGAGGCTTTCGAGGTTGCTTTGATTGCACACAACTATGTCACTTCAAACCTTTGGCAACAGTGAAATTTAGAGTTAAACTCATTGGATAGTTGAGACATTAAACCAAAATTAACATGACATAAACGAGAGTGCCAAACACATGCATCATCATTGACACTAGCATTAATTTGGTTTACTGACTTATTGCAAAATTTTAAAAGGGAATAGTGGTGCGGAGCACCCTACGGACATCACTATGTCAAGAGTCCCATTGCGAAGAGACACACTCAACATCCACTTCAAACATACTAACGTGAATTCCATCCTTAACGTGTCGTTGAGGAGGTTGTCCACAAGCGAGCGCCTGCACCATCCGCGAGGGGAGCATGAAAGCAGAGAAGGAACTGTCAAGATGAAGTCAAGGCTCCACAAGCATGAACATGTGTCCACTGGAAGGCCAGCAGCCACGAAGTCCTCTCAATACCCCGTGCCATGATACCACCCCACACGCACGGGCTACTGCGTCAGCCCTCTGGATACACCGTGCCCGCAAGCTCCACTTACCTCGTGCGCACGGGGTTACCTACGTGCAACTGTTTAGCTTTGCCCATGTAACTTCCCATTACGCCCCTGCTTACCCCTTCATTGTGTAGGACTATATATACCCCTCATTCTCCTCCATTCTAGTGTTAGCTAGGATTTACAGAAACTTGAGAGAGCTTAGCTCATCTACCTCCCCTTTATGGGATCCCTCTATGTGGTGTTGCACCTTTCATGGTTGACAAGGCCTAAACTTGTGGAGAAGAATCCCCACCATAGGATTAGTAAGAACTTCATCTCCCATAGAGATTTGGAGAAGAACCCTCTCTCTCAGGAACTGCCTTGTATCTTTATTCCCTTGTAGTGTTTGGATCTTGATGCACCTCATGTATTGCTTGTGATTTGAGGGATGCTTGGTGTGGATATTGTACAATAGAGTGTTTTCCCTTTGATTCCTCATGTTTTCCCCTTTGTGTTCTTCGTGTTCCTCCTCAACTCCCTCTTCAATTTGTGAAGATTGAGCAAACAAGGGCTTGTCCCACATCCGATAGAGAGAGATTTCTTTCTCGGTAATGCTATCTTGGGAAAGTTTCATGGGAACGAAATCCCAGAGAGCGCACCCCCCCCCCCTCCCCCCTCCTGCCGCCCCCAGAGCCGTCTGGTCGGAATCAGATGGTGGCGGATCAAAAACACCCTAGATGTAAACGAAATGTCATGGCAATTTTGAAATTTTTTACACCCATTATAGAAACTGACAGTCGCGCCGTGCGCAAATGCCATCCTGGCCAGTGAATGGTCGCTGGCTATTGGCCTCCTTATTTCTCTTGTATGCCAACAAGTGGGACACACACATGATGGAAAAAAAGCACCATATTATGACGTCAAGTCAAGTTTTGGCACTCAAATGGTGTATTTCCATCGACCGAGTCCCCTTACAACATCTCTAGCGGATCCTATAAAAATGGTCAAACCTTTAAATTTGCAGTATAGGTTGAAAAATGCACCAACTAGATCATCTAAAAAATACAGGCCCGTATACTAACCCCTACATACCCATACTTGCAGGGTTTCAATCATCTTTTAGGGAAACCATAAACCGATCAACGCCGGAGCAGACGGCCTGGCGGTGCCGCGCAGGAGCAGCGAGCAGACAGAGGAGCTCGGCAGCGGCCGGCCGGAGCATCACTGAAGTAGACGGCGGCCGGAGCAAGCCGACCATGCGTCCTGGGCATGCATGTGTGCGTTATGTCCATGTGTTCTGGCCAACCGAAGTTCGAGTCCGTCCATACGTGCGTCCCATGCATCCGTGTGGACCGGAGAAGAAGAAGCGTGGGGAAAAAAAGAATTATTATACGAATTTACAGGTGTTCTGCCCCATGCCATGCGGTACGCAAATCCGGTTTAGGGAAAAACATATTACTGTTTTTGCGGGGTCTGCTTAGAGTTGCTCTTAGCTGGCCTTGTGTGTGTGTGCGCGCGCGCGCTTAGTTGCTCTTAGCTGGCCTTCTTATTTTTTGAGAGAATGCCATTATGGGGACCTTTATTTTGAAAAAATAAAAAATAAAAAATTTCAGTCTTAAAAAATTCTGAGAAAATAACACATGTATGCAAGGATGTAAAGTGTATGTGTGAAAATTTTCAGGATGAAATACCTTGAATTGCGAGCTACACAAAAAAAAAGAAAAAACATAGACTTTAAAGATGAACAGTACATATGCTAAACAGCCCCCGATTTGTCTTTTTTGTATAGCTCACATTTTAATGTATTTCAACCTGAAAATTTGCAAACACGTATATGTGTATTTATTTTTAGAATTTTTTGAAACTAAAAAGTTTGAATTTTGAAGTTTTCAAATAAAGGTCTCCATAGAGCTCGGTCTCCGTTTGGCATTTTAGATTATGGTTGCTTTATTGAACTTGTAATAAGGTTACATCGTTTGCAAGATGAACAACTAGAAAATCTGGGGTTTCATCGACCCAATTACATGAGCTATTACTATCATCAGCATACTTAGCTGGCCTTCTTATTAGTTCCTGTTTCTTTCCTACCACTCCTTTTTGCTCGAGTTGTTCTTAGCTGGCCTTCATATTACTAGCTCCTGTTTCTTTCCTCCCACTCATCTAAAAAGTGAGCCTACTGCTATAGGGAGACTGAGAAGGATTTATCTCTCTGGTATGCCGACAAATGGGACCCAGAGACGATGGAAAATGCACTATATTAGTGAAGTTTTGGCACTCAGATCGTGTATTTTTTATATAATTTGTGACACAAAAGTGACTGTTCAGTGCAACTTCATGTATACCATGGTGGGTATATTCAGCTCTTTCATCATTTACCTTGCTTCAAACATGTGTCAGAAATTCGAAGGCTGCCTACAAGCGAACTTCCATCTTTTTCCTAATCGGCTTGTTATTATAGCCGTGGATCAACACGAGAACCACAGCGGATTACAGGTCATTGTTTCTCAGCAAAAATACAAGCCATGGAGATCATGAAAAAAGTGTAATCTGACACAATTAAGCACTCTACCATGCAAACGCTAAACTAGAAGTTTGCAAATA